TCTGGACGAACGTATCATGCAGCTGTTACGCATCTGTAATATGATGCTGGCAGAAAAAGAAAGAGACTGGCCTTCTTACACAGCTCAGCATTATTCGGTAACACCACTGGGCTCACGTTCGGGCCTTATCGAATGGGTTGAAGGAGCAACATCCATTTTTCAAGTCTACAGAAAATGGCAACTCCGTCAGGTGCTTTTTTTTTCTAAATGATTCTTGCGTTGTCCAGGTTTTTTACTTCAAGTTCTTTTTTGAAGGTTGACCCGTACTGGATTTCCACAAGGAATGAAATATGGAGATGATTACGATTTGTGCATCTCCTAGCACCGTCTCCGCCCTGTCATTTCTAAATGGCGTTAAGATATTTTATCGTCAAAAAGTCAGAATCCCCTTCATAGTCCCTATTTAACACTGCGTGATTAGCTGGGGCTTATAAAAAACGGCCTAATTGCTAGCACTTTGACAACAGCAACCTCACGCTGTCAAGTCTGCCAAAGTCTTCTTTCTCCAGGATTTACTCGAAATCAAAATAAGGATACTTGCGTCTCCCTAACATACGCCAGAATAAGTCTGCTTTAAAACGGCAGTCATTTTCTGATCATTCCGATTTTTAGAAATTACATACTTTCAGGCGCCTGCGAGTGAAATTGAAAGACCAAGCGAACTTTTCATGAAAAAACTGAAAGCATATTTCCTCGCCAACGTAAGTTCATATATTTTTGCATATTTTTGGTGGAAATTAAGTTTTTACATATTACGTTTTTACATATTTTTTTTTTTTTTTGGAAATTCCTATTTTCCAAATCCTGTACTGAATAAACAGCTTATCCTCAGAGTTGACTCAAGTTAACATTTCGTTGAGTCCGTCATAATCTACTGTCATTATGATCTATGGAGTTATAAAGAATTCGTACTCATTCTGTCGAAAATTGTTAAAATATTACAGAAATTGCCATTGCAATCGCTTGCTGATCGTCAAAAATGGCCGCACACGGCGTTGAAGAATGTTATTCAGGAGCTGATCGATGAAACTCCAAAGGATCTTCTTTCAAGGTTTTGTTCTTGTTCAACGAACAGTTCGTGTTTTTCCCTCGGCATTCACTCCTGGAAGATATCCTCTGTGTCAGAGTAACATTACCTTTGCGTTGTTATTTCACGTTTTCTTTTTTTTTCTAAAGAGAGCTGTGGTTTCGTGCTGGAAGCCCAGACACGTGGTTCCGTGTAACAGAACGATTTGCT